TTTCTGGTTGCCTCACAGAAGTCAACCTCCACCTAAAACTTGTTCTTATTTGCTGTGTATGCACAAATTTTTAGGATTATTTTACCTTCCTCATTTATACCCACCCATCCTATAAGTATTCTCGCATCTCTTGTAAGCATGGTTCTAAAATATGAAGATAACTAAACAATTCTGTCATTAAATCACAAGTTCTGGAATGGGGTCCAGCCTTACTCATTCCTTTCAACAGCAACATTGCAAGAGTCTGAAGAGATCTAATGTAGGTACGCTATAGTTCTACATAAAATTCATCAATCTGGGTGTGTATACTCATTCTCTGTTGTCACTCTCCTTTTAAATAGATAGGAACAGACTTTGGGGGGGAGGCGGGGTTTGAGACAGGCTCTCACTGTGTAGTTGAGACTGACCTGGAACTCACTATGTAGTGCAGGCTGGTCTTGAACTCACAGCCATCCTCTTGCTTCAGACTCCTGAGTGCTGGGATCATGGGTGTGCACCACCATGCCCGGCTTTAGTAACAGACTATTCATCTCTGTGCTGTAATAAAATATATAATTGGCCTTTGTCCCTAGTTATGACACAAAACCCTGGGAATACCATGAGTGATAAGATCGACTTCTGTTATTAAAAACCTTTTGACCACACCTGATTTTATGCCCATGAACTTCTTCAGGTGGGGCTCCTAGGTAATTTCTGGATGGGGACTGGCCACTAGAAAGACCAAATACCTGATTAGAGGGTGGGGAGTTTCAGCTCTATCTCCTGACTCCCAGGGCCTGCAGCAGAGCAGGAGACTGAACCTCTTGAACAAGAGATATGAACACTTCACATTTTGTGTATCTCAAACTACATTCCCAGATAATTACTCTTGCAGCTTTCCCCATCTCAGTATGTAAGGACAGGGGGCCCTATATTTAGGGAAAAGATAGGATGATAGCCTCATTGTGCTTTATTAAAAATTAATAAGGCAGTTTTGACTTCTGCAGCCAGACCTGAGTAATTTGAAGGGCCAGGACAGTTAGACAGGACCAATTAGAAAAACAAAGGCAAAGTGATGGGGGATTTAGCTCAGCAGTTCAGTGGCCTGCCTTGCAAGCACAAGGACCCAAGTTCAATCCCTGGTACCAAAAGAAAAACACAGGCAAAGTATGAGGCTATTCCTAGGTAGTACAATGAACATAAGGCTTGCAAACTTCCCCATTACTTAATCCTTGAACCTAACTCCCTGTCCTGGAGGCCTCCAACCATAATCTCACTCTCCACCAAAGCTCAGAGAAAATCATGGTCAGAAAAAACCCAAATTAGGATGAAAGACTAACCAAGGAGGCAGTCAAATATCAGGAGTCTGTGTAGGACTAGGATCTCAAAAAGGAGCTTCAGTGGACAGGAAATTTAGCTCAGTGGTTCTGCCGCCTGCCTCACAAATGCAACATCCCGAGTTTGATCCCCAGTGCCCAAAAGAACAAAACAAAACAAAAAAACAGGAGCTGCAATCAAGAATCCAGGAGTTACTCATTCTCAGATGCTCCCTACTTGTCCAGAGTAGCTGTTTACCATCTTTCTCCCAGGTTTAAATAAATTATCTTCTTTTATTTTAAACTCTGCTTCCTTAGTCCTCTACTGATGCAGGGTTTAGGATTGCCAGGAGCTTCGTGTTCCAGCAGAACAGGGGCATGGCATGGGATGATGTACACTCCTCCCGGATGTTACAAGTACATAGCGACTTCATTATTTCAGTTGTCAGTGAGGCCTCCCTCACCTCTGTAAGATTACGTATATATATTGCCGCTTTGCTTTATTTTTTCATACATTCATTATCACTGGACAAAGAGGTTGCAATATGGGAAGTGTTTGGAACATAGTATATGCTTGTTACTGGGTAGTTTGCTTCTAAAAAAGTGGCTTGTCGACTAAATGTTTCTGGTTTAGTGGTTGCTTTCCTCTCCTAGAGTTGGATTCCAGGTTCTTCTCTGAATGAAACAAGCAAAAAACAGTGACAAAGTTTATTCGAGAAAGTAAAAATGCAGAGTGGGACAGAAATGCTCTGCAGAGCGAGCTTGGGCTGAGTAAATAAAAAAGAGCAAAGATAAAAGTATATACAGCATGGGCTATCCTGGAAAGCTAAGATAGTGAGCTCTTCGTGGCCTGCCTCACCTTTTATGCTGCCCTTGAATAACTGGATGATGTGATACTATATAGATGGGAACAAGAGGCTTCTAGATTGTGGCATTAGAATTTATGCTTTCTTATAGGCAACGGTGGCGGGGGCTGTGCAAGAGTTTTTAGTAGGAACTTTAGAAGCTGCAGTGTGTGAGGGGGAGGCTAGAGCAAAGCAACAAGTTAAGAGGTTTATGTTAAATGTTGATAAAGTTTGAACTAAGGTGGCAGCAGTAGAGGCTGGGAATGGATGTGGCTTTCTGATTGTATGCACATCATCTGCTTTGTCGCTGTTAAGGGGTATGTGTAATTGGATGTTTTTGAAGAGAATTAGAACCCAATAATCAGCAGTAGGCCCTAGGAAAAGGGCACAGTGTGGGTGGACATGGCAGGAGTACTTAGTAGAGTCAGACCCTCCTTTCTCCAAAGGTTGGCTTGGTTATGCCCAATCATTCAAGCTGACCTGATCCTTGGCAGACTAATTTGTAGGCTTGGTGTAAGTACCCAGTCCTAAGTTTCTAGGCACAGTGAAGGAGTTAGTGAAAGGATTTGACTGTGACTGTGTGATAACTTACACAACCAGCACTGCCATCTGATAGCTACATGACTTGAATAATGCTTCCAGCCTCTGATTTTAGTAGTGGATTCACAAATGATGTAATCTAGGAATATTAAGGAAAGGAAGCTTTCTGTTTGTCTAATGTTCTTAGTACAGGTGAATCAGTAAGAGTTAATTGACGTTCAAATAATGGATTTTCAAAGACTAAATCTGGTTTTGGAAATGGAAGCTAGTCCCCCCACATTGGGGATTGAACCCCAGTACTTCTGCACTGAGCTACATGCGTAGCTCTTATTCTTATGTTGAGACAAGGTCTTGCTAAGTCACTGAGTTACCTAGGTTGGATTCAATCTCAGAATCAGCCTCCAGGAGTTCTGGTATGTGTTCTACTCAGAATAATATCCATGGGATTAAATCATTGAAGTTAGTCTTTTAGTATCAGGTAATCTGTGTTGAACGTTTTTTGTTGTTTCAGAGATCATGAAAAAAAACTGTGACATTAAAACATTCCTGAAAGTGGACATTGTATTAGCTTGCTTTAACACTGGGGTAGAAAAGCAAATTGGATTTTATTTTCACAAAGTGCTAGATGTCAGAGTATCCTGTGGTCCATTGCTACTCACTGAAACTGGAGTGTTTAGAATAGAAGACATCAAGAAAATACATTAACAGCTGGACCTTGTAATCCCAGCACTCAGACTGAGGCGGAAGGATTGCAAGTTTGAGCCCAGCCCATGCAATTCAGCAATTTATTGCCTCAAAATAAAAAATGAAAAAAAGGGGCTGGGGATATAGCTCAATGTGAAATTCCTGTTTAACCATGTGAAAGCCCTGTTCAGTCCCTAGTACTACAAACAAAGCCATACACACAAAACATATATCAACATTAAAATCTTTGCTTGCAATGGTTAATTTTAACTTAATGTTTTTAATGGTTCAGAGCTACTGAGCCCAGATGTGGAGGTTTTATATGTTTTAATTCTGTTTGCTTCTTTATTGACCTGGATTTTTAAAATCTTGAACCTAAGATACTGTTTCTGGCCTTATTTTATTATTTTTTTTATTATGTAATTAAAGAAAATTTAGTTCCAAGAAAGTTATTTCTAGAAATATATTAATACCTTGGTCTTTACTGAAGTTTTCACTATAGTGCTTAGTGTTGTTTCCACTACTTATTCTTTTTTGATTCTCATTCATATAGATTTGCTCTTACTCAGTAACACTGAGATATGAATGTCCAAGTCAGTAGTCAACTATATTCTTTCTTTCTCAAGAAAGTACTCTCAAAAATTGATTTTAATATAAGCACTTTACTTGGGTATCAAAATTTCATTGTAACATTAATTTGGATGCAGCAAGCTTGGATTCAAATTACATGAGAACAGCAACTAGTTTTGCCTTCACTGAATGAGTTTAATCCATATGTCATACATCTTAAATGCTTAATAAATGTGTATTACATATGTATTATCACATGCTTATTTGTATTATACCGTAAAACCTTGGTTTACAAGCATAGTTCATTCCAGAAACATGCTTGTAATCCAAAGCATTTGTATATCAAAGCGTATTTCTGCATAAGAAATAATGGAAACTTAATGATTTGTTCCACAACCCAAAAATATTCATATAAAAATGATTATAGTTCTGTAATATAATACAAAATATATTAAAAAATAAACTACCCTGCACTTAACCATTCAAAACCTTTGTGGCTGGTCTTGAGGGAGATGAGAGAAGTAACACAGCTTTGGCTATCACTAATGGAGTCACTGTTATCTTCTGGCTCAGTGGAATCTTTTTGTTTAACGAGGAACCTATCCAATGACACTCACTTTTGCCTCCTTTTGAGGATATAACAGAAAGGTGACATTGCATTGTTAAACATATTAATTGCTTGCACTGCTGTAGCCTTCTTGAGGTGGTGCTTTTCTACAGTTTTGCACTGTTCCCACATTTTACATATTTCCCTAATCCCATTTGAAGCGAGAGTCTCCCTCCTTTTTTTTTCCTTCTCTGCAAATGAGATCTCCATAATTTTGGCAGAGAGAGAACCATTGGCTCCATTTTGATCATATGACATTGAGCCTTACATATTATTCATATTGCAAGACATAGCTCATTTATCAAGTTAAAATTTATTAGAAATATTTGTTGGTCTTGCAGAACACTCAGAATGATTTACAGTCCAAGGTTTTGCTGTATATAGTTTTGTCACACCTCTCCCATTAACTAATATTCTGAATTGATAACCTAGGTAATACTTTTTTGTCTTTTTTTTTAGGTTGGTATTTCGTATGGCATCTATTTTTATCGAAATTCAAGTTTCTGCGGGAACTAGTGGGAGACATAGGATCCCAGGAGGGAGATCATGAGCCTTTGGGTTCTGAAACTGAAGAAGACAATTCATCCTCTCTGCACAAGATGAGATCTGCTCGCCAAAGGAGGGCACCTGCTGATGAAGGCCACTGACTATGGATTCGGTTCTTAATTAGTCCACAATCAAAGGCAATCGCAAGCCTCTGTGTTTAGTGACTGCACTTTGAAATTTGCTAAATGACAGAAGAACATTTATACATGGATTTTTATGCCCAGTTCAAAAAAAGATTTGCATGTAAGCCATACAGAAATAAAGGGAATTGAAACCAAATTGGACCATGAAAATGTAATATTAAAGGTCATATTTTGTTTCACTAGCTTTCTGCTTAACACAGTCCTTGGCTCTTGTCCTTTTTTTTTTGCACTGATGTAAATCTGGTAAATTTTTCAGGCTTGAAAAAAACATTTTTTATTTGTCATAAAATGTACTCTTTACTTTTTAACGTGTCTGAAATTTGGATGCACCTCATTACTGTCAACCAGGTGATAATCATGTAATTATCCTAGCTTGGGCATGTGTGAATTTACAGCTTATCATACTGTCAACACCTGAATCGATATGTGTGTGGTTGGCATCAGGTATGTCGGTTTAAGGAGCATTTTAAAAATGTCTTCAAGAAGATTACACTGTGACTCAGCATTGAGACGAAAGGTTATCATGTGTGCTCAGAAGCATGGAAACAGAGCAGTGGGGCATACATTTGATACACATGAAGCAAATACTCATCATTGGAGAAATGATTGAAATTCCATAGTTTCTTACAAAGCAACCACAGAATACTTTATGGGTCCTAAGAAAGGATGATACCTACAAGTAGATGAAACTGTACTCGTCTGTGCCGGAGAGGTGCATGCAAAAGGATTGCCTGCTACATGCCGCGCGATGCAGTTGAAGGCAGGAGAAATTGCCAAAACCCTCGGAATCCATAACAAAATTCAGAGCAATAAGAGGCTGGTGTGACTGGTTCATGCGGGGAGCAGGACTGTTGTTCAGACATCCAACATGGCTTCGTCCAGTGCTTCCCATTGACAACAGACAGAAGACAGCTGTGGCTCTTTGAGAAGCGCTCCGTCATCGGTGGTGCTGCGGCACGAAAAGTGGTTCCGAAGAGTTGGACTCAGAATACACAGTTACAGTTCTAACCTAACCAGTTTATTTCACACATTCTTAATGTATACACAAAATGGACACGATAAAAATCTGTTTAACTTTAAAAGCACTGCTAACGATCAATATAAAATAAGTATTTTTGAGAGATGAGGCATTACGTCATAGTGTAACGGACAGTGGTTTTTCTTAGTAATACATATGGTGCATCTTAACTAATGGTATCTTAGAGAATGATACTTGTATTTCTTTTCAAATAGCATTTATTTATTGGGGGCTTAGTTCTGACTTACAATATCAAAATTGTTATCTTCTATGAAATGTTTTCTTTTTTATTAACCTATTCAAAATTTTAGAGTAGTATTTTTGGAATCTTAAGAACCCTCTTCTACTTCAGGAAGACTAGGATTAGTCACTCCCTTTGTATAGGAGGATTTTATGCTCAAGGCATGTGTTATGGAGAAAATACTTCTCCACAGACACTTCAGTGACAAGACCTCAAAGGTACTGGGTATTAAAAATATGGATGAAACTACCTGTTAACTATAAAATGACTCTTATGAGATTTCTGTGTTTGTCTTCACTGAACTTCAGACTGAGCATTATTATGAAAGAGAAATAGGATTTGAAGAACTTTTCTGTTTAGCGGTCCCTGCTTTGTACAAGAATGAAATGCACAGCCAACTTATTTTATGAATCTGTGTTCTTTTGGTTTTTAGCCTTTTTCCTTAACTGGCTATCACCTCTGTTTTATGGTGGTACTTAAATACGTTCAGTACCTCGTTCTTCATGCTGACAATGTTATTGAACTGTTTGCTGGCTCTTCCCCAGGTTCTTCTGTTTCTCATGAACACCTCTTTGCTGATACTGTACTAGAAGGGAATTCACAGAGCATAATTGTAGTTTTTATATTTGCTGGGGGAAGATTCCCAGCATTTGAGAATGGGGCACAATCATTCTGTCTTCATTTCTGTACTGGGTGTGATGTGACTGGCTAGGGCATAAAAAGCAGCATGTTTCTAGCATTAGTTTTGATGTTTCATATTTTGCTAGTGCTAAATAACACATTAAAATTGTCATCAGACAAAAATGTTCAACAGCGTCTTGGGACTGAATGGATATTTAAATTAGATTTTTCAGTCTGCTGTTTGGAGCTCTGGATTTTGTTGTATGTTTGTGTTTTATGGTAGATGTCTAAGGTTTAGATCATAATTGTTGCTGGAAAACTTTAGCTGTCAAGTTTCCTGTTATGTCAGTATTTAAGAATGATGGCTGATGTAACCTTCTTCTGAAATCCATAGATGTGCCCAAATACAAGATAATTCGTGTAAAGCTGCAGATGTCGGGCACTATTTATTTATGCTTCACGCATTTCTTGTTTTATAGAATTTTAAGAAATGTTATACTTATCTTACTTGAAATATATACCTAAAAACATGGCTCATACTCCTTGGGGAGAGTAAAAAGAGATGACTGGTGCCAATATGAAGAGTCTACAGACTAAGCCTTTTTTTTTTTTCATGCACCTAACCTACCATAGTGTGTATGTGTAAGGCCAAGACAAGAGGGAAGAGAAATAGTTCGTGCAGAATTACTTCTGTGAGACGGTATTTCTGTCCTTTTCCCTGTTTTAGAGCTTTTGTAGCTGAACTTACAGAATGACATTACAATTGCATTTTCAGTCCATGTGGAAAATGGACTAGCCTGTGGTTGATGTTAGCGTTTAAAAGGTTATGAACATTAAAATTATAAATATTAGAATCTTGCCTGAACTCTCCCCAAAAATGGTGTGATCAAATATGCCATCTTTTTCAGGATTGATTCTAAAATTGAGGACTCAGGTAGATTGTCTCATTTCTTTCTCACCCAACCATTCCCAGATCTTTTGCCTCTGAAACTTTTTGTGAAAAATTGCCTGTATTGTAGCATTATTTAGGTTTTTAATGCCAAAAACACTAAATGTATAGCACGCTTAAATGAGATTTTGAATATTTACATCAAATTAAATATTCAACACTCCTAATATATGTTCATAGTGGAAATAAATGTGTGGTAGACAGCCATGTCAGACATGTTAACCCATTTCTTTAGATGTTACTAGGTTTAAGAACCATTTCAAATTATTTTTCTGAAAGTTTAGAATATATAAAAGTAATGCAGTCACAAAATACGGCATTTTAAAACATGTTGAAAGATTTAAAGCAGTACATTTTTCCTTTCAAGAGTAACATTTTTGAAGTTATACATCAATGATGCTGTCTTTTTTAAAGTCAGTTTTTCTTAAAAGGTGTATTTTGTGTAACATGAAATCAGTTAACTAGATTTTGCTTGGTAAATTTAAGTGCTTTTATATTTCAAGTTGACTTTAAAAAGCCACGAGCAGTCCTCAAAGTTTATAGACTCAGGCGAATTGTAGAATAGTGTTTGGTTATGGAATCTAGAATTAAAGCACCTTGCATTGTCTGGTTTTAAGTGTCACAGAGTTTTAAAGCATAAAGAGTAACATTTTCTCTTATATTAAAGTTACATTTCCCATTTGTTGTGTACATGATGATCTACAAGGAATGTTTAACATTGCCCTCCAAGTGAGTTCTATGCATAACCATTTACCAAATACTACTGATGTGGTTTCTTCAAGGAAGCATTCTGTGCCGTGCTGTGATGCATTGTCATCTTGCTGCTTGACGAACAGGTTTGTAAGGAACCAGAGCCATGTGTGTTAACAGGACCTTTGTGTAACGAGATGTAAAATTAAACCTGAGGAATGTGCGTAAATGATCAGTGTTCTAAATGGTCAGTACTATATCTAAAGCTGTGGTTTGTATGTTTTAACTTTCATGGCACAGAATAAATTAAAATGAAAACAAACAAGTTGTCTATATCTCATGGATAAAGGATAAGTATGAAGGGCACTTTGGACATGAAGGGATTTTTGAAAACAGCCATTTTTACTAATGGTCCGCATCTCACCTCATAAGCAAGAAGTTAGCAGAAGTATTCTTTAATGCTGTCAAAATAGTTGACATAGAAGCTAAAGAATGGGTATCATTAGAGCTGTGATACGTCTACCTTAGTAACCTTGTTGCTTTCTCATATCCAACACCCTCAGTCAATTTACCGTAGATCGTGTCTCGCATTTTTATTAGTATTCACCAGGAAGATTGATGAACTTGGGTCAGGCTGAGAAAAAGAGTGAGGCATGCCTTCGAGAACACACGAGTTAGGAAGTCATGAATTTCAATTTTGGGGCCCAAGTTGTGATTTTCTTCAGCATTGCTTATCTGCCAGAAATGTGTACAAAAAGGTGAGTTTTGTCAGGATCTGATTTTGAAAGGCAGTCCTGTCTGAAGAGCAGAGGCATTGCAGACTGGCTTTGGGATTTGGAGTGAGTTGTAAGAATTGCCAGTAGGCACTGGTAAGCTGGATGGGTGGAAAGGAAAGGGGTAGGGATTGAAAATGAGTGTGACACGGGCTGGACAGAGTAAGCTTGAGGTGAAAATTAGGACGTCAGAGGTGAAACCGCTCTGGGCAGTGATGTTAACTACAGCCCTGGATCAAGGGCTGTGTGAAAACTGACTCATTCTAGGGTGTTGTGTGAGTCATCAGCATGGTTACTAATTCTTTTGCGTGATGGCAGAAGTTAGGACATGAAGAGTGAGCTGGGGGCCTGGTCTGGGATGAATTCTGACCTCAGGGTTAGGGACACCACGTGACTCGTGCGGGAAGGGTTTACTGAAAATGGAGGCCGGCAGGCAGCGGGTGAGAGCAGGCTGTCTTCATCCTGGCCCCGTGGCAGCCCTGAAGCCAGTATATGCTTTATTAACATCATCTGTAAGTACTTTAACTGAGTTAGGAAAACGATGCCGTTCATGGGGAACTTTGTGAGAATAAGGATAGGGAAAGGAAGGAAGAACAGCAAAAGTCTCACTAAGGATCTTGATGGGGTGGAAGTGTTCCAGGGAGAGGAGAGGAGAATTTCGGAAGAAAAAGCACGTGCAAAGGCAGAGAGTCATGGGAACTCGCCTTGTTTGGGGACTACTGTGTTTCCTCCTGAATAAGACCTAGCTGGAAAATGAGCCTTGAAAACTAGAGGTCAAAAATGCCAGCCCCAGTCAGCTTGTCCTTGCTTTAATGACAACGTGGTCCGGGAGTTGCTCAGTTCATTGGAAAAAGTCCGTTGAAAAAGGGAGTGGCAAAAACGTGTTCACCCTATTTCTAGGTAAGGCCACGGCTTTTGTCGGTGGATTTAGACCCATTAGAGCTGCATCTTTTTCTTCACAAAAGTCAGACTTAATTCTGTGATTACTAAAAGTTTTGTTCTCTCAGAATTTGAACAAGAACAGAACCTTGTAGAGCCAAGAGTTTTACTGTATCATCTTGGTACTGTAGTTGCAGTACTGTTACGTAATGGACCCTCAAATTAGGACCAGCCTGAACATACAATTTAGGTTAATTAGGCTAATTGAAGAGTCATCTGCCTCTTGTTATCTATAGTGTGTACCCAGGTAAATATCCAGATATCAGCTGTATTGACTTACAACCAATTTGAGTTAGAGCCAGCCCTTGGGAACTGATAGAGTTCGTAAATCAAGGGTCCACTGTACTATGTAAACAACAGTATGAGTGTTTGTAGTTAACTGGAAAATATCCATATTTTATAGTTGCTTTACTGACGTGGACAGGTTCTTTTTATCTTTGAACAGTTTCCCCCAAAACATTCAGCTAAGTGTTCATAGAAACAGCAACCCTCTTTGTCATAATAGTTACTTATGTAGTTACAGTATCAGAGTAACTAGAATAAGCGGTGTAGGGACTCATTTGGTTCAACTTGGAAGTCATTTGCTGAGAACCAAGCTGTAAGTGTACAGGACACAGATCTGCCATCCTTGCCTATGCACCCCATTCTGACAGGGACTTGTCCTCTTACTGAAGCTCCAGTCCAAAGCTCAGCCTGGAATCCTCTCTCCCTTCTGCAGAATGCTCACACCTGTCTACCTGTCTTCCAGAAAGCCTATCTGAAATGAATCCTTCCTGTGCATTGCACTCCCATCTCGTCCCACCTTTCAGCAAATTGACACCATCAATGATTTCTTCTGTGTGTTCAGTCACTCCCAAGTGTCCCTTCAGTGCTTAAATATATTCATTAAGCATAAAAGAGTTCAGGAATTGTGTATGGTGGCACATGCCTGTAATTGTAGGCTGAGACAAAAAGATCCCAAGTTCTGGCCCAGCCTGGACAATTCAGTGATTTAGGAAAACCTACCTTGTTTCAAAATTAAGGGTGGGGTGGGGTGGGGAGCCGTGCTGGAGATGCAGCTCAGTGCAAAGGCCCTGGAATGAAGGAAAGGTGGCCCTCTGCATGTCATGCCAGGCCCTACTAAAATAGTTAACCTCTGAGACTCCACTGACACAGAATTTGAAGGATATTTTCCAGTCCCCAGCTCAGCCTGAGCATGTGTTGTACTTGCTCATTTCCTTCTTAGCAGCTTGCATAACACTTGAGTTCTCCTGATTGCACCAATTTTATTCCTGTCCACCTGGTCAGACCTCCATCTCATTTATAGGTTTGCAGCTGTATCTTGCCACTAAGCATTGGAGTTCCTGAGCCTCGGTTCTCTGTTCTAGCCCTTCCTTACCCTGAGCTGTCTCCACAGGCAACTCTATTTGTGACTTCAGCTACTATCTGTTTACCGTGTGGCCCACGATTCTCCCTCTTGTGCTGACTGTCCTCAATGTCTGCTCAGTATCTCATCTTGGCTATCTTCTATGCTAGTCGTATCCCAAATCTGTAAAGTCAGATTTATTTATTCATAGGATCTTTTTTTTTTTTTTTTGGTACTGGGGATTGAACTTGGATCCTTGCGCTTGCAAAGCAGGCCACCGAACCGCTGAGCTAAATCCCTGGCCCTATTCATAGGATCTTTTCAAATTAAAAAAATTTTTTTCCAGGTTAAATTTATGACTCTACAAACAGGTTGTTCTCCCAGTGCCCTCACACAGTTGTTTATCCTTGATACCTGTCTACCTGGTATCCTGTGTCCAGTACATCCTCAGGCCTTGCTGATTTGGCTTCTGGAATAGCACTTGCAATCTTAGGCTTTTGGCAATTTTCTTATTACTGTTTGTAGGCTGGGTAAAGTAGGAGTCAGGAATGTGGTCTCGAATTAGGATGCTTCATTTTTCATCTGTAAAATGGGTATTATAATAATAGCATGTATATCACAGGGGTTTGAGGTCAGTAAAGATGATGCATTTAGAATTGTGCCCGGTTTTATTGAGTATGCCCTACCGCTGAAGTGCTCCCTGGGGCTATGGCCTGTCTCAAATCATTGTGATCCATCTCTGTCTTTGCCTTGCTGTCATCAGAATGATCACTTTGAAAATCTTCCCACTCCTTTGCGTAGAACAGGTGAATGGTTTCCCCGGCGACTTGCTGCATGACTGCATTACCAGCCTCTGCCATCACACCCACTTGCTGTCTCCCCTTCACAGATGCCTGGTCCCCCTCAGACCCGCAGCCTCTGTCACTAGATAGGTCTTTTTTTTTCTACCTCTGGGCTCTGAGCCCAGACAATGATTAAGCATTTATTGCTGGACTTATTTTATTAAATGCCCCCATCCCCACTGTGTTGAGTGAATTAATATAAAGCAGCACTTATACTGAAATAACATTTTAGCTTGCAAGCTGCCAATATTCAGTCCTGAGAATCTAAAGTCAAAGAGGCCAGATTCTGGCTGTTTCCTTCCACCTGCAAACGCAGAAGGGAGTGGTAATGAGATGCTTCTTTTGCAAGCCCCTAAAGCTTTCTGTACCTTCCCGTCCATTTCCTACCTTATCCCATCTGAACAGGAAGGAGAAAGGGTCCTGCTCTGTGCTGTCTGAGGAGCAACCATTGGCCACGAGGTGGCGACAGTTTTCAAGAGTTGGAGGTGAGCAGAAATGTGTGTGCTTTTTGAGTGTGGATGTGGGGGAGTTTGGTAACTTTATAGCGCCCTGTTCTGGATCATAGGTATATTATTTAGTCCTCTATAACACTAGACTGGTTAAAGTGGACCTTTTGAGTGAAGGGGAGGAGGACAGATCAGGTGCATCACTGGGCCAGAAGTACAGAGAGAAACCCGGCATGCTCACACAGGGTATCACTTCATCTCGTCCAGTGCCAGGTTAGATCAGCTGACGGTAGTTACAGTCTCTCTGACTTCCACTGATGGCAGGTGGTAAGGGCAGAGAGGAAGGAGTGCCCCCCCCCAAAGCATCTGAACTCCACTTCCCAGCACAGGACTCCAGAAGTGAGGCAATTTCAGAAAAGCAGGTGAAAGATGAGTGATCCGTCCAGAGGCCCACGCATGTGTAGGGCTTTTAGTTTTGCTTCCACATTTAAGACTATAATTATTTTGAGTTTATTTCTATATGATGCCAGCTGGTGATCTGGGTTTATATTCTTTCACATTCACAGATGGCAGATGCCCAAGATTTTTATTTTGGGGGTGACCTGCACCCCACCCTGAGCCTAGTCCTTGCACTGATGAGGTATTTCTTGTCACTTTCCTGAGCCAGTGTGTGGACATTTCTAGTCCCTTCTTTCTGCACAAGGGTCCATGGTGCCCGGCCAGGATTTGGTTCCAGGTCCTCTGCCTGCCAGAGTTGGGAGCCACAGCTCCTGTCTATGTGGGGCCTCAGTTCTCCAGTGGCTCAGGGCCTTTGTCAGGGCCCAGCCTTAGGGGCCACCGCACACCACAGCTGCATCGGTGCCCGCTTTTGTCTCTGGGTTTGATTTTTCTCTTGTGCCTGGGTCCTGGTCACGTCCCACTCTTCCTTTAGCTTCAGTGCTTTAGAATACTGAAAAGTCAAGTATATT